CACTCATTTTGCTCCGTATGTAGTTTATATTTGAAATCTCTAAAAAGACTTATATTTAGGAATTATTATTCTTTTCTTTTTGCAGGTGAAAGAAAAAAACCCTATTCTTTCAGCAGATGGATTCTTCTGTAATTCTGACAAGTGAGTGTTTTAGACGTAGCTACTTGTAACTGGCGAACAAAAAAAATTATGTACTCCTTCGGATCTAAAATAAGTGCTGTAGTTTTGAACTAAGGTTAGTATGCGCATCCATTTGAAGATTAACATGAAAAAATAGATGAAAACAATATACGACTCGAGCTGCTCTAGGTGTTTTGCGGTTGTTAAATGGCCAGCGGGGAATGAACGATATGAATCACACCCACACACCCGACCCAAGGACGCTTGCACAAACCCACTTTGCTTGCGGTGTGATCTTATCCTACGTACCAGCAGCAGCTGGCCTACGAGGCGAAAGAAACTAAAAGGCGCCTCGTCACAAGCTGGATCGACATGTTGGCCCCGATCTTGGCCGCATGCAAAAGGGGGGCTGGCTCAAGCAAACAAACCACGCATGGAATTATTGGGCTGCTCCTTTTGCGACGTACAAAACGTCTGGAAAAAGGTTTGCTAACCCCAACAACAACCTGGACATGCATGAGCATGGTGTACGTACGCACGCACACATGCACGGCACACCCACTTTGTCGAGATCTTCCAAGACAGCAAACTTTGGTTCGTTCTATATTGCCGTTGTGGTGGGTTATGGTGGGTTTTCCTGGTATTATTACATGGATCATCAGAAATCTTGGTAAACTTAATAGGGATGTTCTTCTGGTCCATCATCCACATGCATGTCATTTACCGTATATCCCTGCGGCACGCTAGTCTCTGTTCTCTCCACACCGGCACTGCACGTCTGCACCCACCGCGTCCACCCTTGAACCACCTCCAAATTCATGCTGCTGGATTACGTGGAAGAATTGGATCATCGTCTTCTTCTAGGACGTCGAGTTCCTTACCTCGAGCTCATGTGAGTTCGGTGAATGGTAAAATTCAGAAAAATAGAAAAGTTTGAAATGATCCACACTTGAAAATCATTTTTGATAAATGTCATACGACATTACATTTGAGGAGGAGGGGGGGAAAAGGCAGCCTGGCAGCATTTTCTGGGAAACATGCCCTGTATGTGTACACACGCACAATGGCCGGATGTAGAAAATCAAGGGGGCCCTGCATCACGAGCTCCTCCCAACGGCGAGAAAAGGCCAGAATGACTTTTGATTAGTAGGAGTAGTACACTTTGCATGGCATAACGCTCCAAGGGTCACAGGACGATTCCTTCCCTGGGCAAGGCCAGTCCAGTCCAGGACGCAACGCAGCGGATCCACCGGCGGAGTACGTAGATATGGGAAGGGAATGGGCAACAGTTACTGATGCCAGTCTACTAGTAGTAGATCGGGCAACGACACGTACTGCCGGCAGAACACGCCCGTGCACGCATAAGAATCAATCAGTCACGATGCCCATGTCGATGAAGCGGACGTTCTCCATCTCGTGGCCGCATGCATTGCATGGCGACCTGAATCGCATGCACGCTGCACGCATCATGAATGCATTCAGAATCCTGCACCGCGGAGTAAACGGAAGCTCTGGAAACAAGTGTTAGTAAGTGCAGATTGTTGCACGTGGGGGGTGGGAAAAAACAGCTCCAGGCCGGTGGCCGGGCTGAGAACGCATGAATTTCCGGCGATCCCGAAGGAAGGAACGGCGTGGTGGGCTGAAATTGGTGCCGTCCTAGACGTCGCCCGCTGAAAATGCGTGTCGAGAGATCGACTAGGCTAGGCACGCACGCTCGTGACGCATAGACTTTTGGGAAGCAATTGTCCGATCTGAATCCGATGCCGTGAGGAGGAGGGGCAGCAAACAGCGATGGAACTACGATCACCCCACCACACTCTACGAGGGCGACGTGACCCCTAACTTCGTCCCCGAGCAGCAAGCACTCTATGAGGTCGTCCATACTCAAGCCGCCGCTCGCAACACACAGGCAGCATAGCCGGGCGTGAACGCAGACGCGGGAGCGACACTGGCTGCGCAGCCGATCACGGACCAGAACATCGCGAGTTGTGTGGCCTACACGCCGCCAAACACTGTTTGGCCACACCGGTGGAACGACAACAGTGTCGGCCCCTTCATTTTTATCATGGACCTCACATCCGCCAGCGACGTACAAGTCAAAGACTTCTCTCGGAATGAGTAGGGCATGAGAGGCGGCAAGACCTTGTATCTCAAGTGGGCTGGTCCGCCTCTCATGTTTTACTCTTCGTCACCGGAGACTGCACATTCATTTTATGGGTCTTGTTACTACCGCTCATGGGGATGATAGATGGGGGACGCTGTCGCCGGGAGGGAACACCAAGGAGTTGGACAGTGAACGCTGCCATAGTCTAGGTTTAGGTCAGGTCTCCTTTTTTTAATGAAAAATTGTTTGAAATGTAATAAATGTGCTCCGGTTATTATATGAAAATCATTTGATTTGCATGTGATTTTTCTTGTTTGTTTAAAGAGTGTTTGAAATGTATGTGGTTGGCGTTGGAAGGCCGGTTCCCGCATCCGTGTTCACTGACTGGTCCATTCTTTTCGCGGACGGATGCGGGAGGAAATTTGAGGATCAATGTTGGAGATGCCGTGATCGTGGATTCCTATCCAACCTTTATATGTTCGTACCGCAACAGTCCAGACACTTCTATTCTCCAACGCGAACGCCTATATTGCATTGGATATTGTGGACGTTTGAAATCCCCCAATTCGGCCCCAAAGAGGCGGAGTAGACCAGTCCGAACGTCTGCCATGTCAGTCCGATAACTCGACATCCATTGCTTTTTTAATTGGGCCCAACCTCTCACTGTCACTGTCACTCCACTCTCCTCCTCTCCCAAAACCCTAGTCGCCGCACCACCGGTGTCGGCCATCGCCCCATCGCAATGGGTAAGGAGAAGATGATATAAGAGGAGCTCACCCACAACATGTGGTACCTTGGTGTGTAACACTCAAAGGTGCTGTCGCCTCGCGGGGATGACATATGAACGGCTGAGGGAGCTCAAGCTCCAACCCAGGGCAGCATGGAGGCACGTCGTCGCCGCTTACGAAAGGCGGTGGAGGAGGCGTGAGGGAGACACTATGGGGAAGGGGGAGGGGGGGGGGTATGCCGCAGTGGCCGGGGTGGCTTCCGCAACTAGCGTGACGACGACAACGCTCTCATTAGCCTTGGAGGCCATGCCTACGATGTTGCCATTCACTGTTCAATCTAGTTTTGTTGTAGTTTAGGTTATCTTGGGATGCAATATATGGAACTAGTTAAATTGTCAAATTTGCATGTAATATATCAAACTAGTCTAAATTTCTTCTAAATTTACGGTTTCAAATTAAACCCATTAAGCATCGTGAGATTGGCGGCCAACCAGCTATGCCACTTGCGCAAACTAGTCGGCCATCATGAGAAAGCTTTTGTAATATTTTTTAGATAGATGTGAGGATTTTTTTAAATGTTTTTTAGATGGTGGTCAAAAACCCACATAGTGGCGGGTTATGCAAAGTGTATTTTTTAAATGAAGGATTATGCAAAGTGGCGCTCCCCGGTAGACTACGATGATAAGAAAATTTCATTTTCAGATGGCGGTGAGGATTTTTTTCTGAGATGTTTTTTAGATAGAAGCAAGGGCCACATGTTTTTCTTAAATGAAAACATGCGCACAACTTCCTTTCAAGCGAAGTCACAGGATGGCGCCCCAACCGCTAGTGTACACCATTTGAGGGCTAGCCTTGGAGGACCGGTGCCCGGCCGGCTATCCACAAACACATCCAGATGTGTCAGTGGAAATAAAAATGTTTGTTACCTTGAGATGCCCTAAGGGCTTTACTAATGACTTTCAGGGGAGAATATCATACATCATACGGAAACCAACATTCGATGGAAACCGATGAAAACCACAAGAAAAAGATGTTTTGAAGTTTCAAAAAAATGCAAGATGTTAAAAGGATGATGTTTTATTGCCACACAAAATTTCAAGTTAAAACACAGATGTGAACTATGAAAAACACAAAATCAGCGTTGAATAGTGCCAAATAGTAATGTCACTATTCAGAGCGTTCAAAGATGGTATTCAGCACTGACCGTAGTTGAAATGTCAACTCTGGCCCTGCACGTCATCCCCAGATGTCATTGTACCATTTAATATATAAACGTATTCGCGATGATAATGAACTGTAGTAATATTCTATCAGAAAAATCCAATTACCAACAAAATGGAGACAAAACAACCAATTCAATTGGAAAGCGCGACCCCCGCAAATCAATTTAAGTGTGCCTTATTTGTTGATGACAACTTCTAAAAGTAAACATCAATGAGAACTGCAAAGAACGCATTTCTGACCATTTTTTTTACTGAAACTACTTAGAGCAGATCATGGAAGTTTAGAACAGACAAACCTATTGCAGAACAATGGAACGTCACAACAACGATGCTTGCTAGTAGATGCAAGAGCATATTTCGCAGTACAGAATCCTGAGAGATCTAAGGTACATAACCATAACAAGACAAACCCCAGGTGCCTACAAAACTCTGTCCTTTGCATGCCTGCGCTCCAGCATTTCAAAGTTTTCAAATCGAAACAAACGTGCTACCACAAATCTCAAGTCTCAGCTCGAATGAAACACAATATGAGTAATGATGAACCCCAGGCAGCAGAAATCAGTAAATAAATCCTCCAAAAACCGTACCAATTTATCCGGGAAAAACTTTATGGTTCCAGTGACTTGCCTGGATAACGAGATTTAGGGCGGCTAGAAATTGTTCTCAAGACAGAGTAGGCAAAACATGACGGCTTGTACTTGAAAAAGGAATACAAGTGCTGCAACTATGTTGTTGCCTGCTGCTATGACAGACGGACGACAGGAAATGGTCTTATTATAACTAGCCTATCAGTGACGCTTGCACATCGGATAATGCAAACCTCCTCTATTTCAACGTAGACAGGGTCTCCTCGGAAGGAATCTCAAGCGTAGCTCCGGCATGTGCCTTCTCAGGCTTCACAACTGCAACACCAAGTAAATGAATTGTCAGAACTAACCAACACAGCAGCTCGTAGTAGTAAACAAAAGATATGCAACCTTTGGTAATGCCTTATTATCTATACCACATACAACAACGGATCAACATTCTAAGGGTTTACATAGTAGTATAATGTTACTATAGTTTACTTCATCAAAAAGCGAAATCTGAAATCAATTGGTACAAGACCGTTGCCTGGACCCTGGAGCTGTCAGTACTACGGTTCTCCACATAAGGAAGTCACAAGCAAAGCACAAGTGAAGCCAATACTAGTCTGGAGAAAACAGTTTTCCATCATTAGCACCCTGCACAGCCATGGTTGTTGGCATGAGGTGTAACCTGGACCACTGCAACCAGATACAACAAGCAGTACTGATGCATTGCTACAGCCAAAACAAGGCCAGGGAATACTATGACAGTGTGATCCAGAGTATTGGCGATAACCATGGAAGACCAATCCCAATAATTCGAAAACTGCATTTATTGCAGATTCTTTGAACAAGAGGTGTCTGGTTTTGTAAAACGGGCTAATGCTACCCCAAAACCTTAACCTGCCTTTACCTTGAGCCTGTTCCTCTGCTCTTTCGGGTCAGCGATAAAAGGTCAATGTCAAAAAAATAGACAGATGTGCTTCCTCGTTTCAATCTTAATATAATATGGCCTTCAGTTTCAAATTCAATATTCAATGCCAGTAAAAAGATACACGAAGAATATACTTGCTACGAATCAGCTTTCAACTCGATATGTATCAACAACATAAAAAAATCGGTGGCTCATTTGAAATTTATGGCCATTAATTACTCTCTGCGATCTGTATAAACCATAGCTTCATTTTTGCCCTTCAGAGAACAAAAACCTTGATACAATAATTGTGTTAAAACTCAAGCACATACTAAAATCACTGTGGAGTGAAAGAGGGGAGAACAGTACTAGATCAATTTTACAGGGGCAACTTTCATATGTTCCTGCCATTTAATTGTGAGATTGCTGCGAAGATGAAAAATATACGACTGGATTATATGCTTGTGTGCGTGAGTGCTTCCATTATCTGAGATCTGTGCACTCTCTCACCACGCATTTACTGACATGAGGTAGAGAATATGCACAAATCTCAAGGCAGGAGGTACATTTTATGGGCGAGATAGTGGAAGTACTCTCGGACACATACAAGTATAGATGTTTTTTCCTAAGGGAGACTTCACTATTAATACTGTTACATTAAGCAATGTGTTATAAAAAAATACATGACAACTGATGAATTAGGCTATATTATTAAAAAAATGAGTAACAAACAGAACATATTTAAATGTTAAGAGTAGAATATTCAACGAGTCACTTGTAACTTTTCACAGTCAATATATTTGTGCACTTTCCATTCATCAATAACTTTGTGAACACACCAACATGGTGAAAGTCTCCTAACTTTGGGCCAATAGTTGGGAGTTTAAGGTAGGTTAAAGAGTATGATCACTAGTAACCTACAAACAGGAATTTGCTAAAGAGCACTACTCATACTCTTGACTCAATAAACACAATTTAACCATGGCATGTGGTTAAAAGATGGCATGACACTGAATTAGTTAAAGTTTTAAACAAATGAAACAGTTTGCCAAGAAGTGATTCAAAAAATTTGCTGTATTCGTGTCCTGTAAAATGCATTGCAATTCCCATGTATGATTGAAACAGGAACTAAAACATTGGAACAGATCAACAGCAAGTGTGCGCTCTTCCACCAACATCAGCTGTTTAGGGCACTAATTCTTGCACCACCTTGGGTCCTAATGCTGTACAACAATAATCTTTGCAACCACTAAGCTCAAGCCTCCATCATCACTGACTTTGGCTATGGTGCTTCTGGGCTACTTGAATTGCCATCAATGGAGGGAGAATGCAGAGGAGCCAGGTTACCAGAGCAAAGCACCTTCCAACGGATTGGAATCCATTTTCATAGCAAGGTAAGACAAGTTAATCCATTTCGAAGGGCATGGGTGTCAGGACCTGGCTATGATCTAGAAGGAATTTGAGATGAAATTGTATAAGCTATGAGGAAAGTTTCTCCCAGATCTACTTTATTGAATATCTGTAAACGAGCTAGCGTATGTGCGAAGCCATCAGGCAATTCAGAGAGAATCGAATATGCTCCACCCAGCCACACCCCGGCTGTTATATAGGGGAAGCTTTTACCGGCAAGACTGTGAAGTGAAATAGTAACTACTGGAAACGGTACAGTAAGAATCTAACGGTCCGCGACGATGCTGAGCAGAGGAGCGATCCTGGCCGTTGGTGACGATGCGTTATCTGAACCGAACTCTGAAACTGAACTTGGCTGCAGCTAAGGTCCTGACATTGCCCCCCTCTTGAGCATCGACGAGTCCTCACGTCGATTCTTGTGCTGCGCGCCAAGCTTGTGTAGTTTGCCTGAAAAACTCGGGGAATGAATACTTGATGAAGTCTGCATCTTCCCACGTAGCGTCCTCCGGTGACAGATTTTCCCATTGAATTTGCCACTGTACCACAGGGGCATTGTTGCGTGGGATTTGCCTGACCTGTAGAACTGCGGCTGGACCCGTTTTGATCGTACCATCCGCATTGACCATTGGAAGGTTGGGGCTCGGAATCGCTTTTGTCCCAATGTGTTTCTTGAGCTGGCTGACATGGAAGACAGGGTGTATCTGAACCTTGCCAGGGAATTGCAATTTGTAAGCAGAGTTCCCTATCTTTTGGATTATGAGAAAAGGGCCATAATACTTGTTCTGCAACTTCAGAGTTCCGCGAAAGCCAAATGCTGCTAATCGATAAGGTGCCATCTTCAAGTAGACCATGTCCCCAACCTGGAAACGTCTCTCCACTCGTTTGAGGTCTGCATAACGCTTCATTCTGTTCTGGGCTGTGCACAAATTCTCTTTCAAATGCTCTAACATTTGCTGTTTAGCAGTCAAGAAATCTTGTGCTTCCTCATCTTCTGGTCCAGGTATCTCTAATTCAGATATGAGTGGAGGTGGAAATCCATAAAGGGCTTGGAATGGAGACATTTTCAGAGCAGTGTGGTAAGTGGAATTATACCAATATTCTGCTAGAGACAGCCATGACATCCACTTGGTAGGTTGATCAGTTGTCATACATCGCAGATAAGTTTCTAAACACTGGTTCACCCGCTCTATCTGGCCATCAGTTTGCGGATGATAGGCTGTGCTAAACCTTAGTTCCACCTTAAGTGCTGTAAAAATGTCCTTCCACAATTTGCTCGTGAAAATTCTATCTCTATCAGAGACAATAAGTTTAGGAGGGCCATGTAGTCTTATGATGTTGTCAACAAACTTTTGAGCCACCCAGAGAACTGAATATGGGTGAGACAGGGGAATGAAATGGCTGTACTTCGTGAATCTATCGACCACAACCATAATAACATCCTTGCCCTGGGATTTTGGTAGGCCTTCCACAAAGTCCAGTGAGATGTGTTGCCAAGCCATGTCTGCAACAGGAAGGGGGTCCAGCAGGCCAGGTTGCAAGCAGTTCTCATGTTTTGCTCTTTGGCAAATAGGGCAAGCTGCAACAAAAGTTTCTACATCATGTTTCAGTCCTCGCCAGAAAAAAATGTTCTTCACTCTGTTATATGTAGCTCTCACTCCTGAGTGGCCTCCAATGGAGGAATTGTGTAGTGCAGACAGTAGTTTATTTCTCAGCTCTGCAGACTTGCCCACCCATAGTTTACCCTTGAATCTCATAATCCCAGAGTGTAGGCTGTAATCTGAAGAATTATCCTGCTTTTGCACTAACAATTTCTCTAGCATCTGTTGAGATTGTGGATCTTCCTGATAACTTCCCACTAGATCTTCTGCCCAAGTAGGAGTCACAGCAGATAGGGTGAAACAACTGGGCAATAGTCTAGATAAAGCATCAGCCACTTTATTTTGCACTCCTTGTACTGAATAGTGAAATTGAATTCCAAGAGTTTCATCATCAACTTATGTTGTACCCCCTCTGTTATTTTCTGATCGGTGATAAACTTTAAGGATTGTTGATCAGTTTTGATCACTAGCTCATTGCCCAGCAAATAATGTCTCCATCTCTTTAGTGCTTCCAAAATAGCTAGAGCCTCTTTTTCATAAGTAGAGAGAGCTGCATTTCTTGGACAAAGAGCAGAGTTGTAGTAGGACAAGGGTCTCCCTCCCTGCATGAGGACTGCCCCAATGCCCTTTCCTGATGCATCAGTTTCCAGGACAAATGGTTGCCTGAAATTTGGTAGAGCCAGTACTGGTGCTGTAGTTAAAGCTTGTTTGAGTGTACAGAAAGCCTTGTCATGCACTGGGGTCCATAGGAACTGTCCTTTCTTTAGCAGGTCATGTAGTGGCCTACAAATAAGGCCATAATCTTTAATAAACCTTCTATAATAACCAGCCAGGCCTAAGAAACTTCTCAGCTTTGTGACTGTGCTAGGAGTTGGCCAATCAGCTATTGCTACAATTTTTTTGTGGATCAGTAGCTACTCCCTTCTCAGAAATCACATGTCCCAGATACTCCACTTTTTGCACTGCAAAACTGCATTTGGACATGTTTGCAAACAACTTATGGTCTCTCAGCACTTGTAATACAATCTGAAACATGTTCCAAATGTTCCTTGAGGTTTCTGCTGTAAATGAGAATATCATCAAAGAACACCAACACAAACTTCCTTAAATAGGGAGCAAATATAGTATTCATCAGTTCCTGAAATGTGCCAGGAGCATTAGACAGCCCAAAAGGCATGACTAAGTACTCAAAATGCCCCAAATAGGTCCTGAAGGCAGTTTTATGTATATCATCTGGGTGCATTCGTATTTGGTGATAACCAGACCTCAGATCCAGTTTAGAGAAATACTTTGCTCCATGCAATTCATCCAATAAATCCTCTATTACTGGTATTGGGAATTTATTTTTGACTGTTAGGGAATTGAGCTTTCTGAAATCAGTGCATAACCTCATAGAGCTGTCCTTCTTCTTAACCAACAAGACTGGAGCAGCATAAGGACTTTGGCTGTGTCTGATCAAGTGTTTAGCCAATAGCTTTTTGATTTGTTCTTCCATTTCTTTCTTCTGATGTTGTGGAACTCTGTAAGGTCTCAGTTGTGGAGGATTTGCTCCTGGTACCAAAGGAATTTTGTGATCCAATGCTCTATGAGGTGGAAGTTCAGTGGGTTCCTCAAACAAATCAGCATATTTCAAGAGTAGCTGTTGTATTTGGGGAGGAGTTTTGGTCCCTTCTGGAACTTCCATAAGTATATTATGCACTTGCATTAAGAATACCTCTGCTCCTTTATCCATTAACTTATTCACACCCTCTGCTTGTACTTCCTTAGTGGTTTGAGGGTTTGTGAAGATAGCTGTAGAAAATGACTGTTGCCCCTTTTGTGTGAAGCTGAACTGTTGCTTGGGAATGTCAAAAGCTACAGGACTAACTGCAGTAAACCAATCATAACCCAAAATTACATCATGGGTGGGCAGATCCAGAGTTCTGAAGTTGTGTGAAATCTTTGTTTTGGCAACTATGAACTCACAATTTGGAACTACCGATGCAGATATTAACTTCGCCCCACCAGCTACAGCAATGGCCCTTGGTTTCACTGGCAATATATTGCAACTAGCTTTAGCTGCAAATTGTGGATTGATAAAGGAAGTTGTACTGCCTGAATCCAGAAGAGCAACTGCTCGTTTGCCATTGATGTGTATGATAATGGTGGGTGTGGGCACTGCCAATTGTTGGCCCATAGCATGAGCAGAGAGAAACATGACTTGCTCTTCTTGTTCATTAGTTTCAACTTGTTCATGTTGTGTTCCTTCCTCTATTTCTTCTTGTTGTTGCTCCTCCACTTCCTGTTGTAACAAATGGACATTTGGTATTAATCTGCACTTATGTCCATGCATCCACTTATCCCCACATCTCCAACATTCCCCCACCTTCCTCACTTTTTGAGTGTTTGTAACAGGGACTTCTGCTTGTCTTATAGGGATTTGCTGCTGTTGCAAAGGAGTGCTCTGCTTTGCTTGGGAGTTCCAATTAGACTTCTGGTAAACATTGTTCTATGGAATTCCTTGCTTCTTTGATGCTGCACTTATGGGTGGATGGCAAGGTTCAATATCTCTAGCCAAGCAGTAAGCATCTGTAAGTGTTTGAGGCCTGAGAGGTCTGAGTTGAAATTTTATCCCATCTCTTAATCCATTAACATAACACCTGACAAACCACTGTTCCCCTAGCTCAGGGTTTTCTTCTTGGACATCAGCCATCAGGTCTTCAAAAACCTTAGTGTATTCAGACACTGTGCTGTTTAGCTGTTTAACTGAGTTGAATTTTTCAGTTAGATCATAAGATCCTGTGTCAGAAAACCTTTTGATCACTTCAGCTCCAAACTGCTTCCAAGATAGTTGTTTCTTCAATAACCCAGAGCGTCTAAGCCACACATCAGCGTCATCCACCACATACATTTGTGCTAGAGACCTTGTATTCTTCGGGAGCTGCTGACATCTGAAAGTACTTGTTGCATTGCCTTATCCACCCCACTGGGTCATCACCCGAAAACCTTGGAAAATCCAACTTTGGTCCTTTTGTTAATGACCTCATGAACTGAGCTTGCATCTCCTGTTCATATGTTTTGTGATAACCCTGCCACATTTGCCTCTCTCTATTCTGTTGATAAAATTTGTTGAAAGCTGGTGTGGGCACCTGATCTCTTGCAGTTAATGGTGTACTGACATTCGGGCTAAAATCTGTTCTGATTGGGTTTGCAAACCCTGGAGGTGCTTGTGCCCTGCTGGTTCTTATTGGGGGCAGATTTTGCATTTGATCTTCCATCTGTTTTGATTTTTCTCTCTCAAGTTCTAATTGCTTCCGCAGCTGTTCTGTTCTGGTAAGCTGATCCTGAATGTTTTCCTGTTGCAGCGTTGGGGACTTGAGAACTTGATGCGAGCTGGATGGTATTTCACTCTGAGTAAGTGTTGCTGTGGTTTTTACTAGCGATTGCAGCACTGAACTGATGGTTGACAGTTGTTTGTTGAGATCCATAACGACTTGCTCAACCCCACCAACTTGCTTAGAAATTTCTCCCTGTTTAGCACTCATGGACAGCACCTCCCCCTGCAATTTGGACATCTCTGATCGCATCTGAACATTATCTTGTTGCATAACACTAAAATCATCGCGAATTGCCATGACCTCTTGCAGATCCGCCTCATCAATTGCTTTGGCACGACCCATCTCCTTCGATCAGAGGATTGGGTGAGGAATTTTACCACTGGATCCCCAGCAACCCTTCCCTTTCCCCAGACCCTGCCGCCGCCACGATCCACGCCACCCTAGCGCACGGATCTGTGCAGGAACTCGGGATTTTACCGATCAAGCAGTTTGCACGAGCAACCGATTCCGCTCGACAGACCTGCGTCCGAATTTCACCGCCACCAGCGCCTCCACACCGCCGCCGATCGCCACCACTCCGCCTCCAACGCTACCAACAGAACTCCGCCGTCGATTACGAAGAAGGGTGGGAAGAAGGGTGGGAATCGCCCGTCGGAGAAAAAAAAATTCCTTCGGAATCGCGCCTTCGCCGAGGATTGTTGGCTCTGATTACCACTTTGTCAGGACCTGGCTATGATCTAGAAGGAATTTGAGATGAAATTGTATAAGCTATGAGGAAAGTTTCTCCCAGATCTACTTTATTGAATATCTGTAAACGAGCTAGCGTATGTGCGAAGCCATCAGGCAATTCAGAGAGAATCGAATATGCTCCACCCAGCCACACCCCGGCTGTTATATAGGGGAAGCTTTTACCGGCAAGACTGTGAAGTGAAATAGTAACTACTGGAAACGGTACGGTAAGAATCTAACGGTCCGCGACGATGCTGAGCAGAGGAGCGATCCTGGCCGTTGGTGACGATGCGTTATCTGAACCGAACTCTGAAACTGAACTTGGCTGCAGCTAAGGTCCTGACAATGGGCCCATCTGGACCTTATGTCTTTAGCTATAATATGTCAAATTGATATTCTGCCCTCAAACCATGCCAAGTTGCAAACTTCATCCTAAGGCGGTAAGGCCTAACATGTCGTTTTTCTGGGGCTGTTGTTCAGTTAAAGCTGGAAAATCGCATTGATATTATGTTGCACTGTCTGAATCTAGCATCCTATCTATCACTAAAAATTACAGCCAGGCATGAATCAGTAAATCCGGCAGTTCCAAGCGGTTAAACCCCATGCGACAGTAGCCGATCAAGTAAGATCAGTGCATAGGCTTATATTATTTTGGTGAAATGCCACTTTATGTAGCCTGAAAAATAACAGTATTTCCATCTAATGGTACTTCTAAAGAACATCATTACTGTTAAGACTGAAGATTTCTAGCAGATATGGTACAAACTAGAACCTTCAATTTCTATGTGTACTTAAATGCCTTTAGGGTTCGACATTTATCTGTTTTAGAAAATTCAAATGTTACAGTACCCACTCTGTAACTATCAGAAACATTTTATCCACCGAGCACTGCAGTTTTCTTAGGGTCAGAGTCAATGTGCCCAATTAGCAACGACACCCCTGCTCCTACGATCCTACCATCTTTAACTCCTAATTCGAGCCTACTCAAAGCGCTAATTCACATAGCAACTGCTTCTAAGATGAACACACAACGAAATATTTCAAAACCCTAAGATCTCAAACAGAAAGCATGCATAACAATCCAAGCGATATGTGGCGATTTGCATATATATGATAATGGTAGTATTACCGAAGGATCCGGAGGGTGAGCGCTTGGCCTGGACGATCATGTTGGCGATGAAGTCCGCGGCCTCGCGGGCCTCGGAGAGGGCGCGGACGGCGTCCTCCGATCCCGGGGCGAGGCCGCGGTGATCCTCGAAGCGGCGCCGGATCTCCACCGCCGACTCCGTCAGCATCAGCTGGTCGCCTGAGAACGTCCGCCGCGCCGCCCGCAACACCGCCCGATACGCCGCCAGCCCCTCCGCCGCCGCCGCCATTTTTTTAGAGCCGAAAAGGTGTGTGGCCTCGAGGCGTCGTAGTGGCAGAGTCTGCAAGTGCTTTGGCCATTCACGCCGACTAGCGTTTTAACTTGCCCTTTGTTTGTTCCTTGAAAAAAAAGAAAAAGAAAACATTTGTTTGTCCCAAAAAACAAAATAAATAAATTAAGGCTGCGTTTGGGAGCTCATTTTCTAAAAGTATTTGAATAATATTATGGTTTTCTTAGAAACCACAATTTTCAAAACTTTGAGGTGTCTAGCTTCAACAAATATTTATAAATAGTAGTATCTTCAACGCCATCATTTTTTTAGTAGTACTCCCTCCGTTCGAGAAAGTTTGTCCCTCAAATGAATGTATCTAGCACCAAATTAGTGCTAGATACATCCATATGAGAAACAAACTTGGGACAAGTTTTTTCGGATGGAGGGAGTAGTATTTAAGAAAGAGGTCTTGACTGGACGCAGAGTTTTGGCTCCCGAGCTCATCTGCGCCTATACTTAGAAAAAAATCAAAACAAATAATAGAAAAATTCAAAAAAAACAAAAAAGGGTGGTAGATAATTTGATGCGTGAGTTCCGCTTCAAATTTCAACTCATTTGAGTATCTGAGCAGCTCTCGGCAAAAAAGACAAAATTGGGGTACTGTTCACGCACTGTTCTGACCGATTTGTCTTTTTTGCCGAGAGCTACTCAGATGTCCAAATAAGTTGAAATTTGGAGCGGACCTCACGCGGCAAATTATCTATCACACAAAAAAATGTTGGATTTTTTTTTGAATTTTCTAGTATTTATTTTGATTTTTGCCTGAGTGAGAGCAGATGAGCCTGGGCACCAAATTGGATATCCGGTCTTGACCACTTTTCTCTAAAATGAAGAAGAAGAAGAAGAAGAAGAAGAAGAAGAAGAAGAAGAAGAAGAAGATGATGATGATGATGATGATGATGAGGTTTTTAGAAATTTAAGTATTCGTTGGCTCGGCAATTGACTACCGAGGTTTTACATTATTACGGTTTTGAGAAAACAATGTTGCCAAACTAGGCATTACCCTTTTGTTGGGATGTCTATATTGGATGGCTCTTTAATGAATTTGTTGGAATGCAAAGCAAGAAAATTATAATGGATATAAATATGAATTCGGTTGTTTGGGTGTTAACAGATTTGACTCACGAAATCTTAGTGACGTTTCAATCTGAAAATCTATTTGGATGACAAACTATGGAATTGTGTAATAACATGAGTACAAAGATGATGCTTTGTTCTATATGCATAAAAAATGTACAATATGTGACTAGAATGATTGTATAGCAGAGAATCAATAAGTGGTTGAATTGTTAAGAGGACAGTGGTACTCTCGGCCTACCAGAGATCAAACCCCAGGTTTGACGCTTTGATGTCTCACTAATACAGACTGTTCTTTAAGTGGGAGGTGATGTTCCCATCGATAGCGACAGGGCTACTTTGAACCGGTCTTCAGTAGGCGATGTGTGAATGTGTGTCTGTACATGAGTACATCTATGTTTTAATCTGTGTTTCTCGGAAAAAGAGTGATTGTATATAATAATAAAAGTCATTGAATATTCTAGAAATGCATGACCACAAATAATATTCACGCAACAACAACAATAATTCTCTTACAACAACAAAGTACAACACATAGTTCAAATAGGTGTTTCAAATTCTCAACAACAGTGAGACGTAGTTCCAAATTTAACAACACAATAGTTCGGACGGGTTCAAGTTCAACAATAAAAACAAGAAAGCATCATTTGGATAACTTCAAGGCAACGAAAGCAGCTATGTCTTCCTCATGTGCATGGGCAGCTCCATCAGAGCGTCAAACAAATGCTCATTAAGAATCAACTTCTCCAAAGTCTACAATGTGTCTGGTACTGTCAAATGTGGTATCGATTGAAGTGTAATGAGTATTTTAGAAGGATTAACATCCTTTGCCAGTGGAGGTGGATCAGTTATCTTCAAAGCATCCTTACTAGCAGTCCTCATGTCTTCAACCATGCATCTAACGCCATCACCTGCTCTCTTTGGTGCCATTTATGGAAAGACTTCAATTGGTTGTGCTTCTAGGTTTGGAACAATCTCTGCATACTAAGATAAGCAAGCCCAAGACAAACTGACTCAACATACATCGCTATAAATATAATTCTTTTTCTCTCTCTAATTTTGTTCTCTTCGGTAATGAAAGCAATCAAGTCTGGTTAATACATGGTGTAGCTACAATGCACACACACCATGCCAATTTTATAATTATGTTCGATACAACATACAAGATATAAGCATAGTTAACTAGCAACAAACTTTCTTTGAGAGTGGTCTAGCTATGCAATCACGGATCCATCAATATAATATACATAACCAACACATGCATCCAACAATCCTTCATGTCACATAAGAAACTAAAAAAGCAATGCATCCATCAATATACATGACTAGCACACAACAACAATAACCATAAGTTCATTGGCAGCAAATCACTAATTCACCATATCGAATCCACATGCTCGTACCTAAATTGGCATCAGGGGGATCCATTTTTTTAGCAAAGTTTGCAACAAGATACAAGTATGGTTAGCAATATATGCAAAAAAATGGACAAAGGGAAGAGGGAGAAGTGCAACAATTGTTGGCTGGAAAGGGGAGGGGCATGAGCAAGGGAGGAGGAAGAAAAAGAGGCATAAGAGGAGGGGATCTGGCGGCAGAGAAAATGGGAACGAGCAGAGGAGATGGGGAACCAGCGAGAAAGGAGGAGGATGTCCGGTGGCATGGGAGGGATGCCCCAACAGAGAAGAGTAGAGAGTGGCGGGTGATAGCTAGGGCCAGGTCGTGGTGGCCATGGGAGGATGAGATGGGGCGGTGAGGAGGAGGGGAACGAGCTGCGGCTATATTCATGGATCCATCAATAGAATCTTCCGAAGACTTGGCGCATACTCCAAGACACGAAGGCGGTCTTCGACATGCTTAATTATCCTTAGATGTAACCGACCTATGTGTAATCCTAGGTACCCCCGGTGTCTATATAAGCCAAGGGGTGTAGACCGTAGAGGCCAACTCACTCATACATCATCTCGTGGTAGATCAACCTGTACTATGTACCCCATCCATTAATACAATCAAAGCAAGATGTAGGGTGTTCTCTCCTAGAGAGAGCCCGAGCCTGGGTAAAATCATGTGCCCATGTTACCATCGCGCCAAGGCTACCAGCTCGGGAGCCCCTACCCGAGATTTGCCAGATTTGACTCCGTCAACCCACTACAATGCACAACTCCCTCTGAAGAAAAACCCATCAAACTTGGCCAAACAAGATAGATAGATTGAAAAACATAGAAAGCTATTCAATTATACAACAAATAAACCTCAAAAAAATCAATTGGATTCAGTGAAAAATCTAATCATAAAGTGACAATTCATCATATCACAACAAACACATTCACTAATTTACATCAGATGGATCATGATCATGTGAGGTAGCTCACATGAACTTGGTATTGAAGATCAAAGAGAGGGAGAGAGAGAGAGAGAGAGAGAGATCTAGCTACTACTATGGACCCTAAGGTCATAAGAGAACTACTTACACATGGTCATGAAGGTAGCAAGGGTGATGAAGAAGTCTCCGGCAATGGATCCCCCATATAGCAGAGTACCAAAGTATGGAATTTATAGGCAAAAGAATGGACGTAAGATGGTGTAGGTGGGGCCCACATGGCTATGGGGCACAACCAAGGCCTTGGTCGTGCCACCAGGCCGTGTGGGGCCCTGTGGCTCCTCTTGTATCCCTCTGATGCTTCCTTGAACCTTCACGCCCCCCAAAAAACTTATTAAATCTTCAGGCTTTTTATCTCTATAGATATTGACTTTCTATAAATTCAAAAACATGCACAAGACAACAAATGGCACTGGGCACTAAATTAATAAGTTATTTAAGAAAAATAGTATAAAATAACATAAAATGTGCACAAAAGTAAAAATATAGTAGCTGAGGGAGTCCTGGATTAGGGGGTCTCCGGACAGCCGGACTATATCCTTTGGCCGGACTGTTTGACTATGAAGATACGAGATTGAAGACTTCGTCCCGTGTCCGGATGGGACTCTACTTGGCGTGAAAGGCAAGCTAGGCAATACGGATATGTATATCTCCTCCTTTGTAACCGACCTTGTGTAACCCTAGCCCCCTCCGGTGTCTATATAAACCGGAGGGTTTTAATCCATAGGACAACAGACAATCATACCATAGGCTAGCTTCTAGGTTTTAGCCGCTTTGATCTCGTGGTAGATCAACTCTTGTAATACTCATATCATCAAGAACAATCAAGCAGGACATAGGGTATTACCTCCATCAAGAGGGCCCGAACCTGGGTAAACATCGTGTCCCCTGCCTCCTGTTACCATCCGCCTTAGACGCACAGTTCGGGACCCCCTACCCGAGATCCGCCGGTTTTGACACCGGCATTGGTGCTTTCATTGAGAGTTCCACTGTGTCGTCACCATAAGGCTTGATGGCTCCTTCGATCATCGCTAGCGATGCGGTCCAGGGTGAGGCTTTCCTCCCCGGACAGATCTTCGTATTCGGCGGCTTCGCACTGCGGGCCAATTCGCTTGGCCACCTGGAGCAGATCAAAAGCTACGCCCCTGGCCATCAGGTCAGATTTGGAAACTTGAACTACACGGCCGACATCCGCGGAGACTTGATCTTAGACGGATTCGAGCCCATGCCGGACGCGCCGCACAGTCGCGAAGAGCAAGACGTAACTCTACCGTCGGACAGTATTCGGGAGATCGCATCCACAGCTACTCTGGTCGTTAATCCGGAGCAAATTGAGCCATCCGAGAGCGAAGGGATAGACCCCGCCATGGAGGCCGCACTCTCAGTGGCGATATAGTCAGATACTGACTTCACCCCTTTCGAGAGCCGCGTCACCGAACCACTGGATTTATCCCTGACCACGGACTCTGAGCCGCCTACATCCGTGCCCGTCAAATCCGACGGG